GTGCGCTACCACGCCCAGCTAATTTTTTGGTTTATTGTAGAGATGAGGTCTCGCCAAGTTGCCCAGGCAGGTCTTGAACCCACGGGCTCAGGCAATCCACTCACCTCAGCCTTCCAAAGTGCGGGATTACAGGTTGAGCCACTGAGCCCGGATCTTTTGCCCACTTTTTAATGGGGCTGTTTGCTTTTTTCCTTTCAGTGCACTTGAGTTCCTTGTAGATCTTAGATGTTAGGCCTTTGTCAGATATACAGTTGGGGAATATATTTTCCCATTCTGTGGGCTGTCTCCCTGCTCTCTTGACAGTTTCTTTTGCTTTGCAGAAGCTCGTCAGTTTGATGAGGTCCCACTTGTCTACCTTATTTCTTATGGTATGGGCATTTAGGGTTCTGATCAGAATTGGTTGCCAGTTCCAATTTCCATAAGGGCATCTCAAGCATTTTCTAAGATTCTTATGGGTTGAAGTTTTACGTTTAGGTCTTTGATCTATTTAGAGTTAATTTTTGTGTATGGTGATAGGTAGGGGTCCTTTTTCAATCTTCTGTATGTAATCAGTCAGTTTTCCCAGTACCATTTACTGAATAGGTTCTCCTCTCCCCAGTGGTTTTTGTTGGAAACTTTGTCAAAGATGAGTTGTTTGAGAAATTGAGACTTTGCTTCCAGAATTTCTATCTGTTCCATTGGCCTATAAGCCTGTTCTTGTACTAATCCCAGGCTTTTTAAAATTACTGTAGCCTTATAGTAAAGTTAGAAGTCTGGAAGTGTGCTATCTCCTGCTTTGTTTCTTTTGCTGTCGGGAGCCAGCCTCAGAGGCCTTCACGTTGACAGGGTCTGGAAGGCCAAAGACCCCAGGTTGCAGGGCAACTCTGGGCAGCTATTGGCCATGCTTCTTCTACCTCCACTCTCGATCTGGCCACTGGAAACTGGGGAGTTGGAAGATGTAAAGAGTTCTATATGGGAAAAATAGTTTTTAACAAATAGTAGTGTTTAGTAAAAGAAGTATTTGCTTTGTTAGAAGTATACTCTTCCATTAAAGCACCCTTGGCTTTACTTTCCTTTGTTAAGGAGGTTTGTAATTCTGGTTAGGGATTGTGACCAAGGTGACTTGAGCCCTGGAGGCCTTTTGTTTTGTAAACGTTGAAGCTCATTCTCCCTGGCAGAGGATAATTGATGCAGATTGTAAACACCAGGTGTGACATTATGGAAAGCTAGTCAGGTCAACTTGTGGTTAAAAATCCTTGAGAATTTTGTTTTACCCTGGCTAGTTGCAAATTGCTGTGTGAAGGTCACAGGTGTGACTTGCTAATCTATGTGACAAATATAGTGCTTAGAACGTGGTAGTGATTTATAATGTAATAGTTATAGGAATAAGTAAGTTTTGTATGGACATTAAGAAATGGTAATCATTAAAAAATGTAAGAAGTTTATAAAATTTATAGTTAATGTTTAGGATGATAATGTTTTAAGATCAAAGCAGGATGAACAAAAATACATTGCCTGTCTGGTCCATTAAATTGAAACTGATTGTCTTGAAAATGAAAAGCATGTTTTCATCTCAAGCCAAAATCTAGGGTATAAAAGGAGTTGAAAAAGACAATAAGTTGGCATTTGTCCTGATTGCAGCAGAGTCAGTGTCCAGGTTTTCTCTCCTGTGCTGATGCTGTCCCTCCTTCAGGAAACCCTAACCTCCTGGAGCTGGACTCCAGCATTTTGCTAAAGATTGTTTTGGCTATTCATGGTCGTTTGTGTTTCCATATGAATTTCTGTATTGCCTTTTCCAGGTCTGAGAAGAATGATGTTGGTAATTTAATGGATATTGCATTGAATCTATAGATTGCCTTTGGTAGGATGAACATTTTAACAATGTTGATTCTTTCCATCCATGAGTATGGAATATTTTTCCATTTGTTTGTGTCTTCTTGAATTTCTTTGAGTAGTGTTTTGTAGTTTCCATTGTAAAGGTCTTTCACTTCTCTGGTTAAGAAGGTGACAAGGTATTTCATTTTTGTGTAGCTAATGTGAATGAGATTGTGCTTTTAATTTGGATCTCTGCCTGCTTGTTGTTGGTGTATAGGAATGTAACAGTCTTTTGCATATTTATTTTGTATCCTGAGACTTTGCCAAAGTCCTTTATCAGTCCAAGCAGGTTTTTGACATATTCTCTTGGATTTTCAAGGTATAGGATCATATCATCAGCAAAGAGAGATAACTTGACTTTCTCTTTTACTCTTTGGATACCCCTGATTTTCTTCTCTTGTCAGAGTACCCTAGCTAGGACTTCCAACACAGTGTTGAACAAGAGGGGTGAGAGTGGGCAGCCTTGTCTTGTTCCAGTTTTCAGGGGAAATGTTTCCAGTTTCTGTCCATTTAGCAATATGTTAGCTGTGGGTTTATCACAGATGGCACTTACTATTTTGAGATATGTTCCTTCTAGGTGTTTGAGAGTTTTTATCAAGAAAGGATGCTGTATTTTATGAAAAGCTTTTCTGGCTGTTTGGTGACTCATCGCCATTCCCGGAGCAGTTCGGCCTCGGCCCAGGGGCGACTGTCAGCCTCTGTGTCAGAGACACTCATCCCGACGCCAAGATAGTCATCCCCCTGCTTCGCAGTGGGAGAGCACATCTGGCCGGCAGCAGGGCCTCACGCACCCTCCCTCATCTCCCCTTCCCCCGCTGCCTCTGCCCTGCCAAGCCTAGCCCAGACTACCGAACTCCAGCCTCCACTGCTGCTGTTTTGGCCCCCACCGCCGCCAGACTTCGCAGCCCTGCCCGCCACTTCCCCTTCCACTTTGAGAAGCCGAGGAAGGAAACAAGGAAAGATGTCACCATGAAGGCCAAGAACCACTGTTGCCGCCGACCCCTGCCAGCCCAGAACACCATGAGCCTGGGTCCCCGCCACGCCAATGCTTGTTGATGCTGCAGAGCTCCCCCAGCGCCGCCACCACTGCCTCTGACATGGACAAGAGCAGCAGCTCCAACAGCTCCTCTGCCTCTTTGGGCTGCAGCAAAGGGCCCCCATCGACCCGCTCTGCCTTGGTGGGGTCTGCCGGCAATTCTAAACCCAAGAGCAATGGAAAGAACTTGAGTGAATCTGTGAGTTATAATCGCAAACATGAACCTTCCTACCCCCAAAATGAAAGTTTTAGCAACAGTCACATTGCTCCAGTTCACAGAAAAGCAAAACTTTTAACAAGATGCCTCTTCGAAGGGGCAGGGGCAGTGGCAGCAGCAAACTCTTTAGCTCTTCTTTTAATGGTGGAAGACGAGATGAAGTAGCAGAGGCTCAGCAGGTAGAGTTTAGCCCTGCCCAGTTGTCTGGTCCTAAGAAGATCAATCTGAACCACTTGTTGAATTTCACTTTTGAACCCCGTGGCCAGGCGGGTCATTTTGAAGACAGTGGACATGGCAGCTGGGGGAAAAGGAACAAGTGGGGACACAAGCCTTTTGACAAGGAACTCTTTACAGGCCAACTGCCAATTTGTGGTGTCTGAAGACCAAGACTGCACAGCTCATTTTGCTGATCCTGATACATTAGTCAACTGGGACTTTGTGGAACAAGTGTGCATTTGTAGCCATGAAGTACCATCTTGCCCAATATGCCTCTATCCACCTACTGCAGCCAAGATAACCCGTTTTGGACACATCTGTTGGGCGTGCATCCTACACTATCTTTCACTGAGTGAGAAGACCTGGAGTAAATGTCCCATCTGTTATAGTTCTGTGCATAAGAAGGATCTCAAGAGTGTGGTTGCCACAGAGTCATGTCAGTATGTTGTTGGTGATACCATTACGATGCAGCTGATGAAGAGGGAGAAAGGAGTGTTAGTGGCCTTGCCCAAATCCAAATGGATGAATATAGATCATCCTATTCATTTGGGAGATGAGCAGCACAGCCAGTACTCCAAGTTGCTGCTGCCCTCTAAGGAGCATGTTCTGCTCCGGGTAGTTCTGGAAGAGAAAGTAGCCCTACAGCAGCAACTGGCAGAAGAGAAGCATACTCCCGAGTCCTGCTTTATTGAGGCAGCTATCCAAGAGCTCAAGACTTGGGAAGAGGCTCTGTCAGGAATGACTGAAAGCAGAGGGGAGGTCACTGGTGTCATAGGTACTCTGGAACAACTGATGCTGGTGGCTCCCTTGGTGAAGGAGTCTGTTTTTCAACCAGGAAGGGTGTGCAAGAGTATCTGTCTGCTTTTGATGAAGGAACCACGGAAGTTTGTTCTGTAGATTCTCCTTGTCCTCTTGCCCTCCCTCTGGTGGAAGAAGAGGAAGCAGTATTTGAACCAGAGCCTGAAGGATTGTCAGAGGCCTATGATGACTCGGAGTTAGCAGTTGACAATCTTGGGAGGGGAACATTTGTATTGAGTCCAGCCAGTAGGAACCCATCACCAAGCCAGGTTTCACACACCAGAGCAGCTCTTCTTGTTACTACCTTTACCAAGCGGAGGATGGGCAGCACATGTTCCTGCACTCTGTGAATGTGTGCTGCCTTGTGCGGGAGTATGGCAGCCTGGAGCAGAGCCCTGAGAAGATCTCAGCAACTGTGGTGGAGATCACCGGGTACTCTATGTCTGAGGATGTTCGACAGCGTCATAGATATCTCTCTCACTTGCCACTCTCCTGTGAGTTCAGCATCTGTGAACTGGCTCTGCAGCCTCCTGTGGTCTCTAAGGGAATCCTAGAGATATTCTCAGATGACACTGAGAAAAGGAAGTGCCAGCGCCAAAAGGAGGCTCGGGAGGAACCCTGCCGAGAGCACAGGATTGAGATGGAGGAGAACAAGAAGCAGGGCAAGTACCCAGAAGTCCACATTCCCCTAGAGAATCTATAGCAGTTTCCTGCCTTCAATTCCTATACCTGCTCCTCTGGTTCTGCTTTGGGTCCTACCAGCACCGAGGGTGATGGAGCCTTCTCCCTTTCTCCTCTTAGCAGAAGTCCACGTTTCCATGCATACTTTCTGCTGACCCCTCTGTCACCCACTGCCGTTCAGGGCAGTCCCTCATTCTGCGTTGGGAGTCTGGAAGAAGACTCTCCCTTCCCTTCTTTTGCCCAGATGCTGAGGGTTGGAAAAGCAAAAGCAGATGTGTGGCCCTAAACTGCTCCAAAGAAAGATGAGAACAGCTTAGTTCCTCCTGCCCCTGTGGACAGCAATGGGAGAGTGATAACTCAGACCGTGTTCCTGTGCCCAGTTTCCAAAATTCCTTCAGCCAAGCTATTGAAGCAGCCTTCTTGAAACTGGATAAACCAGCTACTTCATATTCCCTCTCTGAAGAGAAAGGAGGAAAGAAAAGAAAAAAAAAAACAGAAACAGAAGCTCCTGTTCAGCACCTCAGTTGTCCATACCAAGTGACGCTACTGGCCCAGGATGCCTTCTTCAACTGTTTTTTTTTTCCTTCTGTGCTTTTGTTTGGCTACTGTAATTTTTAAGTATTTGAGTTTGAACAGATTTGCTCTGGGGGGAGGGAGTTTCCACAGTGTGAGGGGGAACCAAGAAAATTTTAAATACAATGTATTTTCCAACTTCCCATCTTTACACCAAAATAAAGTATTGACACAAGAGGTCTCTTCCTGCCAAGGTTTTTGGTTTATTTCTAGTTTAGTCTTTTTGACCCCTTGTTGTATAAACTTTTCTCAACCCAAAGTAAGTTTGAGTCCCTTCAATATCCCTTGGAGCAGCCCAGACCAGAGTGGTACAGCACCACTTTTGCTGTAGTAGCATGCATTGGGGCTTTTTGGTTCCAGCATATTTCTTAGTTTATCTTTTTAAAATAGTTGAATCTTTCCTACCTGTTCAGTTCTCCTTGTGAAAGAAACAGAGGAATGGTAATAAAATGGATTTAGGACAACCCCCCCCCCCAAAAAAAAAGAAAAAAAAAGAAAAACTTTTCTGCATCAAATGATATAATCATGTGGTTCTTGTTTTTACATCTGTTGATGTATTTGATTACATTTATGGTCTTTCGAATGTTGAACCAGCCCTGCATCATGGGGATGAATCCTACCTGGTCATGGAGGATGATTTTTGAGATGTGTTTTTGGATCTGATTTGCTAGAATCTTGTTGAAGATTTTTGCATCTATGTTCATAAGGGATATTGGCCT